TTTTCATCACCTTAAATTTTAACCTAAAAATTGTTGACTTTCCACACGGCTTAGTTGAGGGTGAAAAATTACTAGGATGGTAATCAATTCCTAAAAACATAGCAGAAAACTGTGGTAATAATTTCGCTGGCTAGAATATTAAGCTAGCAGAAACGTTTCCAATAAGATTGGTTTAGGGGTGAAAAATTTTCATGGTGATCAAAGTTTAGTATAAACTTAAGAGAACACTTTTTTATTTCAGTTATAAGTAGAGGAGAATTAAATTGTAAAAGAATATTTTTTCACCTTAAATTTTAACCTAACAAAATTATTGGCTTCCCTTAAGAGACAGTTCAGGGATGAATAATAACTAAAGTGGTAATAAATTCGTTAAAACCTAGCAGAACACTGTGGTATTCTAAAAATAGTTTGTTTCCAATTTCTAAGGTGGTAATAAATTCGTAAAAACCTAGCAGAATACTGTGGTATATCAAATATATTTTTTTAATTCTGCTAGTTTAAACCGTAAGCTAGTATTATAGCTTACTTTAAGGGTGTTTTGGTGGTGAAAAATTTTTAGGATGGTAATAAATTAGTGAAAAATTGGTGAAAAATATGACATCACCAAAAGTTTTTTTTTTTAATTTTGCTAGCTTTTTTTTCGAATTCTCCTAGTTCAATCTTAAGCCAGCAGAATCGCTCCGCTAAGGCTGCTTTGGTGATGAAAAATTATTAAGGTGATAATAAGTTAGTGAAAAATGGATGAAATAATATTACGTAGCTTAATTTGAATTCCACTCATTTGTCCCCGCTAGTTTAAGGGCCCTTTCTTGTTAGTAAAAAATGATCTCATTTTGATATATGCAGCTCTTGCCATTTCGATACGCTTGTGTATCTCTGGTTTGATTATGCTTTGAATCTAGTGTTGTTCCCAGATAATGACAATTATTTATTCGTTCTATGACGTAATCGTTAATTCTTAATGGAGAAATATTATTATTATTAACACCGGTTTAACCAACAATCATATATTTAGTCTACATTCAAACGCAGTCTGTGGTGATTGGTAAGTCTTCCCGGTTGCTAGTGATTACATTAATTAATTTTACAGATAAAGAAATTTCCGAATCACTTGTAATTGAAGCATCGTTAAAAATATACTTGGAGTATCAATTAAAGATAGTATGCAACCTTATCTAACTTCTCGTTGGATTTCTATTTTTTCGGTCAATTCATTATTTATCTTAATAGCTTCTCCTTAGTTCCAATAAAGCTCCTTTATTATTCGTCTGTGAAATACTATTTTCATTAGTTATTCATGCTTTACTTTTTCAAACGCTTTTTAACAGTCAACTAAACACATATAAATATCAACGTTCATGTCCATAGACCTTTGTATTAGTACATTGATGCCAAATTGTGTTTATTGGGTTCTTAAGTTCGTAAATCAGTTTCGCCTCAAATTAATTTACTTGCGATTTTGGCCATTTTTTTATTTTTTATCTAAGTTGTTGGACCGCTTAAATATGAAGCTAGTGGAAATGTTGGTTTAATTTATTTATCTATATGTGTGACCCCAATTGGGTCACACACACACACACACACACACACACACACACACAACACACACATATATATATATATATATATATATATATATATATATATATATATATATATATATATATTATAATGTATTGTGTCCATAATTGTATATTTTAATGTTTTAATTGTGTTATAAATGTTGATGTAATGCTATATAAATATTCACGATAGTAAGTACACTGAAGAATGTGATATTTTTAAATATTTACATTTTGCTATTGCAGTGCTTGAAAGGAATAAAACATTCGAAAGCTCGACAAAAAGTCAAAAGAGTGTTTTTTTACATCCCGGCCATATCTGACTGCAACCCTATAACTGTTTTATTTGTTTATATCGACAGTCATAATATCAGTATTCTTATATATATATATATATATATATATATATATATATATATATATATATATATTATATATATATAAGAGTAGAAAAAGATATATATATTGGATCTAAAATTTTTCAAAAAGGGCGGCATCAAAAAAGAGCGTACAGCAAATATTGTAATCCGCCTCTGCTAAGAACAGCGGATTGTTCTTATTACTTTCTCTATTTTACGAATTATTTTTTATACAAAAAAGTTAGGCTTCATTTTAAATTTTAAATCTATAGGAGTATCCGTACAAATCACAGAGGACATATAATTTTATTCCCTAATTTATGAGGTTTATCAGGCATACATTAGCCTAAATTGCGTAAATTTTAAAAAATGCAATACAGTTAACACCTCACTATAGTCCTTTTCCATCATATTGATACCACATTATGTATGCAAATCCTCAACAGGTCAAAAAACTACAGGCGTCACCCTATACTTGTTTTGAAATAAATAAAAAAAATTAATATTTTAAGATGCCGTAATCTTCTGTAAAATAAGTGTCCACTAATCTCACAATACCTTTTTTGTGCGTAAAAAACGTCGGTATATATTCCACACGATTATTGTTAATTATACACGGGTGATTAACGTGAGAATTCAATGTTTCACGTAAAAAATTAATGTAAACAGTAATTTAAACGTGATTATTGTTTTCTATACAAGTTATCGCCTGACACAAAAATAATACCTTCTTTGAACGATTACCTGGAATTACTGATAAGGCTTCACTAATGATAGTTTAAGTAGTATTTATGCCACATTACAGCTTATGCCAATAATATAAATTAGAAATTGTTTGCATCTTCCATTTAGTTTGTAGATGTACATTGTTCATGTCTTACCTACCTACGTTTTTGACGTCGACAGCAGGTTTTATCCCGGTTAAGTGTAGTTTTAAAGGTGCCTTCAGTCTAAGAGAGAAAATATAATATTAAATGTACACGATGCACTTGTACATCAACGGCCTTTAAGCAATGTTCGTGAAATCGTTAACATGTGTTCAAATATGACAGGGGTTGGAGAAACAACAATTTATAGATTCCTAAAAGAAAGAAAAGGAGGAACTGTTTCATCTACCAAGAAGAGTGGAGGGAGTAAACCCTTGGAAATTGAAGAAATACATAAAAACATGATAAGACGCAGCGTCCACTCATTTTTTTTAACAAAGAATTTTTAACATTGGACAAAATCCAAACATTAATTAGATAAAACGAAGAGTTACCAATCATAAGCAACAAGAAATTATGGGGACTATTGAGAGGGAGATGAGATTTCGTTGGCAAAAGAATAGAAGAAAATCTGTTTTAATTGAAAAAGATTACATTGTATGTTGGAGACGAGATTATCTAAGAACTATTAAAAAGTACCGAGAAGAAGGAAAAACACTTTTTTATTTGGAAGAGACTTGGCTAAATGAAGGTCATACTGTACCATATCTATGGGTTGATACAAATGTGAAAAGTTCCCGTCAGGCATTCATCGAAGGTGTATCTACTGGAATAAACAATATTCCCGTTGGAAAAGGACGCAGACTCATAATAACCCATATTGGAAACGAATACGGTTTTGTCGATGGTGGATTATTAAGTTTTGCCTCAAAATCAACCAAAGATTACCACGAGGAAATGACTGCTGACGTTTTTGAAGAAGATTTTGAGCAAATGTTTGATTTAATTCCAAAAAATTCTGTCATAGTCATGAATAATGCTAGTTACCATTCAAGACTAGCAGAAAAATTGACAACAACGGCATGGAAAAAAGGAGAGATAATCGAATGGTTGGATAAACACGCAATTGAGTACAAGGAGAATTCGACAAAAAAGGAATTATTACCTATTGTAAGGCAACATAAAGCAGCTTATAAAAAATATATAATTGATGAAATGGCATTAAACCGTGATGTAATTATTTTACGTTTACCCCATACCACTGTGATCTGAATCCGATAGAAAATATATGGTCTCAAGTAAAGGGTGAAGTCGGACGCAACAACAAAACTTTTAAATTAGAAGACTTACAACAATTATTAGAACATTCCTTATCAAAAGTAACTCCAGAAAATTGGAAAAATGTTGTTAGTCATGCTCACAAGGAAGAAAATAAAATGTGGAATTTGGATAATATGACTGATGCAATGCTGGAACCGGTAATAATTAACATTGGAGTTGAAGATTCCTTAGATTCTGAAGAAAGCAGTGAATCTGAAATGGAATTTGATTAAAATAATATTCATTTTTTTACAAATCGGCCCCTGTTACGGCCACAAATTATTTTATATATAACCAATAAAATAAACATCTTACATTTCTTGCAAATTCATTAGTACCTGTTAATCTCCATCACTCCGACACTGGCAACTTTATTTAGGGATTAGTAACCCTCAAAACTATTGTATTCTATTCTGCTTCAACCTTTATACCTGGTGGTCATACTCAATTTAAAATTGTTTTCCTATATACTTCTGTAAACTTGTTGACAAATATCTATTTTTCATTGAGTCACCCGTATCAACAGTTTAGGGATTTGCATACATAATGTGCTATCAATATGATGGAAATGGACTATATCAGAATTTTATTATCATCAGTGTCAAATAAATAATCATTTTCCATATTTACCACATTTACGATACATTTTCACCAATGATTTTATGAAGATTATATCGAGGATATACCAGCAGAACGCACTAAGTCAATTTTTTTCGTTATTCAACTATTAATGCACACGTATATAAAAAGGTAAGCTCTATCTACTGTAAAAACACACCAAGTCGTACTTATTATAATACCAGATAAAAATTTAATACTAAGTCAGTTTGACTGTTTTATTTACTAGCAAAATGTATTAAGTACTCTTAATGCAGTCTGCTTGTACTATTTTTAAACACCGAATATACAACTCAGCATTAACTTTGACTTAGAATATTCTACTTGTACAATGTTTATACTTATATCATATAGATTGCTAGTGTTTCAGCTGACCTGACGGTTAAAAATGTGGTTTTTGTGATTAAACAAACGTGAATAAAATTTCGATTTACATAATCATGAGTAATTGTGGTAGAGCTAAACGCATTTTAGAACTATGTTTACAGACCACTGGAATAGAATCTGGTATGTATTATATTGTAAAAGGTATTATATTTTGATAGTATAAGGTCGTCATAAATTATAGGTTATGTTATGAATAAAAATTTACTAGAAAAATTTGATTCATTGAAATTTTCTAAAATTATTCAACATACTGAATAATTTTGTATTTTCACATTGTAGGTGAAATTGTTGCTGTCCCAGCCGAGCATGTGCAAAACTTGGTATTACCAAGAATGGAGACAGAGTCAATTATAAATAGAAGTGATTACCTTCATGTTGCACCTATTTTAATTTTACATTATTGTCTATTTTTAGATGTAACTGAAGAACAGTCAATGGTAATAATGGACAATGGAAGTTTAGAGCTGCAAAATACTTTTAATGTAACTGCTGAAAATACCATATGAATAGTAAAATTGATATGAATGTTCAACCTACAAATAGTATAGAAATGTTTTGTGATGGTAAAGAATCTAACGGTCTGTTAGTATTAAATGAAATTACTGACATAATATGTGGTAATAACATTAACATAGACAATTTTAACACTATTAATGCCAGAAATTATCAGCCTACCAGTGATAATGATCTACATTACCAACATGCAGCGACTGAAATGATGACTGATATTGAATTCGATAATCCATTAAAGTTAAGTGAAATTACTGACCTGCTAACAACTGACAGCAATATAGACAATCTAGATGATGACGCTCCAACGATTGAGGTGAGTAATCAATCAGATCGGTTAAAATTAAAAGAAATTACTAATGTACCTAAAAATGACGAGAACATAGAAGATTTAAAAATCAGTAGTGACGAAGATTACAACTGATGATGTGATTATGATCCTGACTACCAACCTCCAACGACTGAGGAAATGTCGGAAGTTCATTCAAATAATCGGTTGCAATTATGTGAAATTACTGGCATTTTTGTAAATGTCGATAGTGAAGAAAAGGAGGTAGCAGTTTCAAGTAAAAGGAATAAAAATCGGGAAGATAAAAACAGATGTTTACCTTACAAAAATTATAAAGGTGTTGCTACAGGTCCTAAACTACCTGCTGATTTAGGCAATCATACATGTACATTTAATTGCTCGAAATTTACAGAGGAAAACCGAGTTGATATCTGTACGACTTATTGGAAGTTATCTTACGAAAGCAAAAAAAGGCTTTATATGAGGAACTGTTTCTAATAAAATACCTATATCCCGAAGACCTCGAAAAGAAAATTATAAACAGAGAACAAGTGCCAAAACCTATTATTTTTTTAAAGACAACGCACAAATAAGAGTGTGTCAAACATTTTTTAAACTTTGTATTCAAACGCTGGACTCAGGCTTTTTCTGGTCAAGACAAATTAGGTGGTCATTTTTCATCTATAGATAAAAGAGGAAGACATGTCCCAGTAAATAAAACAAGTGATGAAAATCTGCAAATAGTGAAATCTCACATTGAATCATTCCCTGTTGTAGAGAGCCATTACACTCGGAAAGATACTAAAAAAAATACTTAGATTCCAATCTTTCCATTTCAAAAATGTACAGCCTTTATAGAGAGTATTGTGAGCAAAATAATTATCCTTTAGTTAGTTCTATTACATACCGAAGAATATTTTCTCTTAATTATAATTATTCTTTCTTCAAGCCCAAGAAAGATCAATGCACTGTGTGCAATAAATATAACTTCAGCAATGACAGTGAGAAAATTCTATTAGAAGAAGAGTTTAAGCTCCATTTATTAAGAAAAAGGAATGTCTTGATCAAAAAACCTTGGATAAAGAAAGAGCAAATACTGATTCTTCTTTTATGTCAATTACGTATGATTTACAGAGCGTTTTGCACATACCTTCCACAGAAGTTTCTCTATTGTACTATAAGAGAAAATTGAACATGTATAATTTGACTATATACGAAGCCCCTTTACCAAATAAAGCATTTTGTGTAGCATGGACGGAAGTCAATGGCAATAGAGGCAGTTGCGAAATTGGAAGCTGTCTCCTATCATATATAAAAAAATATTTGTCGCCCAATATACGAGAACTTTCATTGTTCTCTGACACTTGTGCAGGACAAAACAGAAATGTTCAGTTGGCAGCCTTATTTTTAAATCTTGTGCAATGCGTCACAGAATTGCATGTGATTGAACAAAAATTCTTGGAGAGTGGACATTCGTACATGGAATGTGATTCCATGCACAGTGCGATTGAAAAGCAAAAGAAGTTTGTTTCTGTGTATTCTGCCAACGATTGGTTGAACATTTTTAGGCTGTCTCGTTCTGGAAACACGAAGAAAAAATTACCATATCAGGCTGAGGTACTTCATTATAAAGCTTTTTGCGACTTGAAGTTATTGGCAAATACTATAATTAAAAACAGGACCTTTAATACTGGAGGAGAAAAGGTAAACTGGTTGAAAATTAAAACTTTAAGGTACGAAAAAGAGAAACCTTTTATTATACAATAAATATAGTGATAATTATAAGGCCATAAATGTAACAACTCGTAGATCAAGCCGTGCTAATCAGCTATTTTTGAATGTTGAAGATATTCCAAAATTGGACTCTGCTCGATTAAAATTAGTGGTGTCAAGAAGAAAGACTTAATGCAGTTATGTGAGAAGAAAGTAATACCAGAAGTATTTCACAGATGGTACGAAGATTTGCCGGTTAATGAGAAAATTATCGATGTTCTACCTGAACCTAATGTTAATGATTCAGATAAAGAAGACTAATAATTATCTTTTTACTTTCTGTAGTTCTTTTTGTATGTAGTATTTGATAATTAAAAATCTCTGAAAATATCTATTGTCCTTTCTTATTTTTATTTTTCACCAGAATTGTTTTAGTGCCGAAATTTTAGTTGCCTAAGATTATGAAATAAAAGACTATAATAATAAAATTGATACGACCAAAATTAACTTTAAAATGGGGTTGGTTGTTTCTTCTTATTGAGTTAATGCCTCGACAACTATGATCATTGGCATGGTACAGTCAGGTACCTAGTGTAGTGTGTGTGTATGTGTAGAGTAATTGTCTTGATACTTAGCAAAGTCGACGTCATTGTCTTTGCTAAGAGACGCTAATTGTATCCGAACGTCTGCGGTCCCTCCGGTGAGTACCGATCGCACATGGATAAAAATTATTTTCATTCATTAATTTTTAATAAACAAAAATTTCTCTACCCAGATGGGATTCGAACTCACGACCTTTAGGTTTAAAGGTAGGCACTCTTACCACTGAGCCACAGAGGGGGTTGGGTTGGTTGTTTGCCAACTTAAGTAAAATAGTAGCAGTATAAACAAGCAGAACGCACCAAGTTAGTTCATTATTATTAAAAAAATAATTACTAATTAACCAAAAGTAATGACTGCTGTTATATTAAACCATATTCTTTAAAACACCATTGATAATTCTGTAAAAGTAATAGAATTAAAATAAATGTAATACTTTTTGTGTAATTTTAATTTATAATTAACATTCTACTAAAAACTTGATTTTCTCAAAACACTATTTTTTGACTAAGTGCAATCTGCTCGTATACCCTCGATATGCTTTACTACTACTATCGAGTAATTTCATTGTCTTATTTCTTTTATACGTTGCCGATCCATATTTAACGTAAAATAAATCACGTTATATTTATCTCCAAAAATAAAACGAAAACATAATTTCACTCCATAAATAAGTTAAAAAAAATATTGAAATTATGAAAAATTATCGTAGCTCACTTATTTTTCTAAAACTAGTAACAATATGAAAAATTGATAAAGTCCATTCGCTCAGGTCGGGAATATTTTGACAGATTCATATTGGGAAACCTTCAATAATAAAATTCCTACCTCACACTGTTAACAGCTCAAATGCAGCAGAACTCTTTCATTGAAAAAAGAAGAATTATTATAAATAGTGAGAGTGTATACTACACCCATACAATTCTCCGTATATACATATTTAAAAAATATATTTGTGGTTATAATTTAACATATTTACATAATATTGTAGGAAATGTTTCTATTATTCGCGCTGATTTTTTTGCGCTTGAACAGTTTTTCGAAGACCTAGAACAAGCCTACAGAAGATGACCCAGAAATGACATCAAGATAGTGCTAGGTGACATAAATGGTGACAAGAATGGGACGGGTGCAAGTTTTTATGCCGACTATAGACAGGCATAGCCTACACAACATCAGTAGCGATAATGGATTACGACTGATAAACTTAGCAGCAGCACTGAACATGACCGTCGCTAGCACCTATTTTGAACATAAGAATATACACAAGATAACCTGAACCTCCCCTGATGGAAGAACAACTAGTCAGATTGATCACATCTTAATAGATTCAAGACACGGAACGGACATAATGAACTGCAAAAGTTATAGAGAGGCAAACATAGACTCAGACCACTGTTTAGTGATCTCAACACTGAGAGCTAGAATTTTAAATAATTCCAACAAAGAAAAAAAATAGATACAAAGAAATGGAATGTACAGAAGCTGAGAGATGCAACTGCTGCAAAACAGTACTGGGACAATATTACCAATAGGTTAAGAAATCAAAGTTCAAGCCAAGAAGACCAGAGAGTTATAGACTTCTACTGGAACACGATAAAGGAAGATATTAAGTCAGCAGCACAAGATGAAATAGGAACAGAAACTTGTACCCAAAAAGTTACTAATTTGACGATGAATGCAGAGACGCAAGACAGAAAAAAAAATGAAGCTTATGCAAAAATGCTTACCCGCCGAACTAGAACAAGTGTAGAGAATTATCAGACAAACAGAAGAGAAGAAAAGAAAATACACAGAACCAAGAAACGAAAAAAGGAACTTAAAACCTCAACAGAGAAAAAGAATTCAGAACATTCTATAAAAAAATTAACATCAACAGAAAAGAATTCAAGGCAAACACAAAGCAATGTAGAAGTTTGAATGGCGATCTATTAACAACGAGAACAGATGTACTAAATCGATGGACGGAACATTTTAACCAGACACTTAATATAGAGGAAGAAGAAGAAAATCCGGAAGACGAAAGCTGTGAGATAAGCGTAACAGACGAGAAGGAGGAGGATCCACCAACAATCCTGGAAGTTAAAGACACTGTAAACAAACTAGCCAGAAACAAATCACACGGAATAGATAATCTCCCAGCGGAATTATATAAAGAAGGTGGCCACGATATCATAATAGCGCTACAGCAGCTTATAAAAGAAATATGGATACAGAAATCCCTTCCCAGTGATTGGAAATACTTTGCACCATACACAAAAAGGGAGATATCTTTGAATGCTCTAACCATCGAGGAATTACGCTCCTAAATGCAGCGTATAAAATATTCTCCAATATACTATGCCATCGTATGGCACCATATGCAGAGCGAATAATAGGACAATACTCGGCTGGTTTCAGAGGTGGTAAATCAACAATTCATCAGATTTCAACCCTGAGACAAATTCTAGAGAAAACACTGGAATACGGTGTAGACACGCACCACATATTTATACACTACAAGGCAGCCTACGACTCTGTAAATAGAAGAGAATTGTTTAGAGCAACGATAGACTAGGAGTACCAAATCAGTTGGTAAGTCTAACCAAACTAACCCTTGAAAAAGTTGAATGCAGAGTACGAATACAGGAGGAACTCTCTGAACCTTTTAAAACAAATAACGGGCTACGTCAGGGAGACCCACTCTCCTGTATACTATTTAATCTAGCTCTGGAAAAAGTAATACGTACGTCACAAATCACAACTACCGGTTCAATATATAACAAATCTGTGCAAATCCTAGCATATGCTGATGATATCAATATTGTTGGGAGAACGGAAAACGCAGCACGAGAGGCGTACGTAGCACTAAAGGAAGCGGCTACAAAAATGGGTTTAATAATAAACACCAATAAAACGAAATACATGAAAATAGGTACGCAACCACAAATACTACGGCCACTTGTTATAGAAAACGACGTCATCGAAGCAGTTAACGAATTTGTATACCTGGGAACGCTCGTCAATACTGAAAATGACACTACCGCAGAGATAAACCGCAGAATTTGCACGGCTAATAGATGCTATTTTGGGCTTAATCTCCTTTTTAAATCTACAGTTATATCAAGAAATACAAAAGTAAAACTCTACAAAACAATAATACGCCCAGTCCTAACATATGGTTCAGAAACCTGGACTTTAACAAAAAGCAATGAAAACATGTTAGGATGTTTCGCAAGAAAAATACTAATGCGAATCTATGGAGCTGTAAATGAAAATGGTGTCTGGACAAGACGATACAACTTCGAACTCTATAACTCTTCTATAACTCTTCTTAACTCTTCAAATTAAGATAGGACATCTGAGGTGGGTAGGCCATGTAATGCGGATGGAGCAAACCGACCAAGCTAGAAAAACGCTCCTTGATAGACCTATTGGTCAAAGAAGAAGAGGAAGACCCAGAACAAGATTCCTAGATAACATAGATCAAGATATGAGAAATATGGAAATACGTGCTTGGCGGAGGAAGGCGATGGATAGGGACGACTGGAAAAAAATTCTTGGGGAGGCTAGGACCCACACAGGGTTGTAAAGCCAAAATGATGATGACAGTTCTATTCAAATGTATATTAACTTCAAACTTGTTTACATATGGAAGTTTTCAACAATGCCGAATTTTAATGAGCAAAAATTACTATTCGACATGAATGTGCCTAGCATAATGGCGTTAATTGTTTAAAAATTAATACTATTTGCTTTGCTAAATCTTCTTTACGTAGAGAGTTATACTTATTTTGTAAGATAAAAAAAAACCAAAGTTTATGTTGGTTCTATCATACGAAATGTCAACAAGAAAGTATGTGACATTGTCTTAACCTTTTCTGATTGACTTCTTAATTGTGCGGAATTTATTTCCTAAAAATATTTTGTATTTTTTAGGAAAACCTTTATCATTTCTCTTCTTGGCCTTGCGCTTATGTCAAAATTATCTGAAAACGATAATGTTTACACACTTTTATTAATTATTTTTCTAGGGTATTGACGATTGCATTATTTTGAGTATGACGTTAAACAAGATGCATGATAGACCGGTATATCCAGACGTAATCTCTTTTTCACATCTTTCTATTGTTTCCGTTACTTCGATTTGTATACAGTGTTAGTATGTTAAATTCTTTTATTGCTTGTATTAAGAATTGTCGCTTCATACTGTCTATGCGCTTTCAAATTCTATTAAGAGATTATGTGTGCCAATGTTATACTCACTTGTTTTTTCAAGGATCTGACCTAGAACAAATATCTGGTCTATTGTTGACTTCTGACTGCAGAAGTCATATTGGTATTTGTCAACTATTCTTTTAGAGTATAGTCTAAATCTTTCAAACATGACGTTGAACATTACTTTATCTGCTGTGTTCAAAGTGTGATTCCTCGATAGTTTCAATATTCTAACTGGTCTTCTTTTTTATGTACCTAATAGTATAATAATACCTCTATTCCAGTTTGCTGGTAACCGTTTATTCAACCATATCTTTATTATCAGGTCATGTATTGTTTTTAGTAATGCGTTTTATCCTTCCTTCATTAGTGATATATTGTTCATTTAGAGATTGTTCATTGAGACATAGTGATTTATTGTTCATTAATTTGTCTACTGTTGTTCTAATCTTGGCTATTGTTGTTGGACTCGTCTCTCTTCTCTCTGATGTCTGCTGGGTCTAATGATATATCACGTTTCGCCTCCCTCCTAACACCCTCAAGCTTTTCCTTAAAGCGTTCTTTGCATCTTCTTAGTATGTTTTGCTGTTCACTCAATATATTACCCTCCTTTCCTTATCTCTCCACATCGTTGTTCTTTGATTGAAATTGAATTCGGTACGAAATTGTAATAATTACGGTTTTTAAGGATTAATTTTTTTCGGGCATACCTATATCTAAGGTTCATTACATTTGTAAACATCCCTATTATCAGAATATAACTTGTTCGTGACATGACATGTGTAAGTGGGTCATAGATAAGGTTTCAGCTAATTAAATTTTTTTTCAGTTACACAGCAAACATGTATGCCATTTTAACAAGATACAAAAAAACCATCTGGCAGAAATATATTTAAAATGAACATCGATAAAAGATAATACTAATATATTCTTAAAATTTGTTATTAAGGCTGTTTTAGCAGTTCAAGCACACTGCGATTTGAAATGGGCGTATCACTTACATTTCTACACTGCTTACGTAAGACTATCTTTACTCAGTGGCGTCGGCCAACGGGCAACAAATGCATTACCCTCCATTCAAATTAGTTTTAACACGAACTAACTGACCGTACGCTCATGACATTTGAAGTCACGAACCGATAACGGCGAACCTAAGCGACAATGATGAGTAACACGTTTCACTATTAGATTTTAGTATTTTTTAGCAATTTTCTTTAAAGTTTGAACACGCTTTTCTCGATTATTACTGGACACAGAAAGGTGAAAAAAAAATCAACGATTACAGAAAAAAAACTCTTTCAAGCGATGGGCGTAAAAAGTTTGGTTATAATAGAACGTTAAACAATATAATCCAATTTTTCAACAGAAGTAACAAAAAAAGTAAAATATTGTGTCCAAATTTCGAGACATTTTGTCGGTAAATAACCTAGATTTTGGTTCACAGATAAAACAGCCTTAATTAAAAGATTTTATTGGAGTATTTATTGGATTTTTTATCCTGCAAAATTTTATTTATATTTCAATACGGAAATTAAATATTTTCCACATAACAGTTATTACCAATGAGCCTTACGGTACTTAATTATATTAGAAATAACTGAACCTTAATACTTAAAAACTGTATTAATTAAACCTCATTAGACTAATTATTATAAAACGCACATCACCGGAAAAGCTAAAAAATATCAAATTAAACTTCATTGTAAACAACTCGGAAAGGCCCAAACAAACAATATATTTACTACGAGACGATAAAGAATGTCATAATTGTGTTGCTTAACCTTCGTTAACAGAAAAACAAAGATAAGAATATATTAATTAACATTAACGACTGTTAGTGTTATGTCGACTCACATCGCTACCATGTTGGCTGTGAATACTTTTAAACAAACGTGTGTAAATCAAGTCAAATATTTACATATCTATCGAAATTTGTTAGAAAAAGTGTCTTTTAAATTATCCGATATTGGTGAAGGAATCAAAGACGTTACAGTAAAAGAATGGTACGTAAAAGAAGGTGATAAAGTTTCCCAGTTTGATAATATCTGTGAGGTACAAAGTGATAAAGCCTCCGTAACTATAACAAGCAGATACGACGGCGTGATTTCCAAACTGTATTACAAAGTAGATGATACTGCTCTGGTTGGAAAACCTTTGATCGATGTGGAAGTAGAGGGTAGTAAAGATAGTGAAGAAAAATCTGAAGAGGAATCTCTACCAGAAAAAGAAGTGTCCTTAGGATATGGCAATAACGAAAATATACTTTGCATACCCTCAGTAAGACGATTAGCTAAAGAACATAATATAGATCTAAACAAAGTTCAAGGAACTGGGAAAAATGGAAGAATCCTTAAGGAAGATATCCTCAAATTCTTAGGAGGATCCATATCCAATACAGAATTAATTACCCAAAGGGAACAAGTTAAACGTGTATCAACCGAAGATGATATAAAACTTATCAAAGGATTTCAAAAATCAATGATAAAAACGATGACTGAAGCTCTAAAAATTCCCCATTTTGTGTATGGTGATGAAATTAAGATAACCGAGGTATCCAAATTGAGAAATATTTTAAAAAATAAACATGATAGGAAAATATCTCCTCTACCATTTTTTGTTAAAGCAATATCTAATTCTTTAATGAAGTATCCAATAGTAAATTCATCTGTAGACGATAATGTGGAGAATATTATATACCATAAAGCACACAATATAGGTAAGATTTTTTCATGATTTTTCTATAATTACTATTTTTTATTATTAGTATTATTTACTTATTATTATTATTATTATATTACTTACTATTATTATTAATTTTAAGTAGATATTACTATTTTTTATGTAAACTCAATGTTTCTATTATCGATATAGGTTAAAGTCTACAAGTAATTAATTAAATTACGTAACGAAATTTATTTTTTTCAAGTATTTTTTCCTCTTTTTAATAATCATCTCTAGAATCCGGCATGGAACCTCTAGAAGTTCTGCATCTCAAATTTGTAACTTAACAATCGATCTAAAAATCTTTACTTTCTTTATGTGATTTATCAACTGACCGGTTCATCTTCGTGTCTTGGGTACGATTCTGTAACTATGTCCATCTGAGCGTATCTAGACGCGAAATCACAACTACCGAAGTAGGTATCCATGCATAGTGACTTAAATAGGTACTAAACATAATCAGAGCTGAACGTGAAAATAATAAGTTTCTGTTTTATTTAATCTTACATCTACTGGCCTTCCACTGCAATTAAACATGTCAAAGACATCTAGAATTTAAACTTAAGACTGACCCTGAAATTTATGCCTTTTATATTATGAATGCATGCCTTCAAATTAACATCCGGTTAATATATTTTATAATTTTACGTTTTTATGACCCAAACACGATGTGTTTCTGTATTCAAAAGCTAATAAATTATAAAAGTTAACAATAATATCTTTTAAATTATATAAATGTATGGGATATATTTTACGACTATTTGATGCTTAATAAAATCATTTAAAATATCAAATATGTAGTAAACCACAATATGACAATTTCAGGTATAGCTATGGATACGTCTGTGGGGTTGGCTGTGCCAGTTATAAAGAATGTTCAAGCACTTTCGGTGATAAACATTTCCGATGAAATTCAAAGACTGATTAAGAATGGCAGGGACGGAAAATTCTCACTAGCTGATATCTCTGACGGTACCTTTACATTGTCTAATATAGGATCTATAGGTGGCACTCATACTAAACCTGTTATTCTTCCACCTCAAGTAGCAATCATGGCTATAGGAAAATCTCAAAATATGCCCAGGTTTGATGAAAACAAAAATCTTGTGTCCGAGGAAATTGTAACGGTTAGCGCATCAGCTGACCACCGAATTATAGATGGTGCTACAATGGCAAGATTTGTAGTTGATGTTAAGAAACAATTAGAGAATCCATATTTGTTATTTCTAAATATATAATTGTAAAATTTGTTTTAATTATAAAATATTTAAAAATATTTAGGTATTTTAATTAGTACTATGATTATATATATATATATATATATATATATATATATATATATATATATATATATATATATATTTATATATATATATATATATATATATATATATATATATGTATATATATATATATATATATATATATATATATATATAATATATATATATTTGGGTCAACAGCTGATAGACAAAGTATATTCTTTTTACAATATCCAATATATTTCGACTACTTTCATAAGCATCATCAGGGAGAGCTACAATGATGGTTATTAGGTATCTCTTACATATGATGAACTGGTTTTTTATTTATTTTTATACTTTGTAGTTGATGTTAAGAAACAATTAGAGAATCCATATTTGTCATTGTAATTGTAAAATTTGTTTTAGTTATAAAATATTTAAAAATATTTAGGTATTTTATACTATAATATATTTAGGTATTATAATTATTACTATGATATATATATATATATATATATATATATATATATATATATATATATATATATATATAGAAAATGGAAAAGGATAATGCGAGTGAATAATAAAAGTAATATATATATATATATATATATATATATATATATATATATATATATATATATATATATATATAGTTGGAAAAAAATTGGTTGATAACAGCTGCCTAAATTTAAATTAAAGAAAAGGAATCTGATAAACAGCAAAGATTGGCTAACAGCTGATAGACAAAGTAGGTATATTATTTTTACAATATCCAATATATTTCGACTACTTTCATAAGCATCATCAGGGAAAGCTACAATGATGGTTATTAGGTATCTCTTACAAATAATGAATTGGTTTTTTATTTATTTCTATATTTACTGAGGATGTTTGTCAAGACAGTTTGACAATACAGTGAGTCAGTCACAGCTTAAATGATAGCTAGTTAATAAAACTAGCTTGTGTCAGTGGCTCAATATTTATTAGAAAAAAATTACATACTCAAATTAAATTACTATAAGTCTTTTAAATAAATATAAACTATTTTTTTGGTTTCAAATATACCATACTTAAATAATAATAAATATTTAATTATTTTATGAATGATTTTAATGTCACAGCTAAAATGATGCAAACTTTAAAACAAGAAAATTAATAAAGAAAACCAACTCTACGCATTGAAAAATGATTGCTAATATTTTGTATGCCATTCTTGATTATCAATTACAGCCTACAGTCATCTAGGCATTGATTCGACCAACTTCCTAGTGTACTCTGGGGAAATTAAAGATTAAGTAATTTTTACTTTCAATTCATTTATATTTGATTTGGGGCACTATTTACTTTATTAGTGTCAACCACAAATTTTCAATAACAATCAAATCCAGTGACTGGGCTGGTGTTTTAATGACATTTCGACCATTAGCATAACAAGTACGAACCCGATATGACGTGTGTTTTGGATCGTTGTCCTGATAAAACCGGTAATTGTTATTAATAGCTAATTTTTGAGCACTAGCGGTGAGATGCTTCTTCTTCGAGTGCCTCTCCTTTCGGAGATTGGATATCATTAGGGCGATTTTAATTTTATTTACTGCTGTTTTGAATACTTCGATAGTAATACAGCCAAACCACTATTTTAAATTTCTCATCCAGGATATTCTTTTGCGTCCTTGGATTTTTCCTTGCACTATATTTTATAGAAATGTGTACTTTTGTCCTGTTATCAGGTGGCCTAAGTATTCAAGATTTCTCTTGTTTATATTCAGTATAACTTCTGGATCATTATTTATTCTGCGTATTACCTCTTCATTTGTAATTTTATCTATATATATATATATATATATATATATATATATATATATATATATATATATATATATATATATATATATATAGCGAGTGTTTGCAACTTTAATTTTGTCGCTTCTCGCATCCCAATCGCCATAATTTCTTATCGGCCCAGTCTCCTTCTTGAAGACCTCTATTTTCCATTTCTATATGAATATTGGATATCCATTTCTTTCTTGGCCTTCCCCTTTTATTTCTCTGTGTAGGTCTCCAGTTCCAAACCTTTCGTGGTATCCTTTCTTCGTTCATCCGTCTCAGGTGTCCATACCATTTTAATTGTTTTTCGGCTATCGTATCCATTATTGTGTTCTTTACTTTCATTCTCTTTCTTATGTTTTCATTTCTTATGTGGTCAAACAAAGTTAACCCGGAACATCTTCTCCAGTACATCATTTCCGTTGAGAGGAGTTTTTGTGACATATTATTGTTAAAGACCCACACTTCTGACCCATACGTCAGCACCGGCTGAATCATAGCCTGATATATATTTTTCTTTGTTTTCTTAGTTAAAGTTTTATTCCACAGGATCGGATGTAGTGTTTTTATCATGTTTTTTTCTTTTCCTATTTTTCTTGTTATATCTTTGTCGTCTTTGTCGTAATTTTATCTACCCAACATATTTTTAATATACGGCAGTAGCACTATATCTCAAAGCTTTCAAGATTTTTAACATTCCCCTGTTTAAGAGTCCATGCCCCAACACTGTAAAGTAAAGTACTGAATACATAGCATTTTAACATTCTAGTTCGTAGATGAATACTAATATCACAATTAAAAAATAATTTTTTCATTTTTATAAAGGTATACCTGGCAAGTTCAATACGTTTTTTTATCTCGTGATTTTGGTCACCTGTTCCATTGATGAGGGTTCCTAAGTATTTGTATTCGTTCATCCGTTCATCCTTATGCCGTAGTTATTACATATCTCATTCATACTTTCACCTAGATGTTGTAGATCTTCCGCTGTTCTTACCATTATCACAGTATCGTCAGCATATCGAATGTTATTGATAACTGCTCCATTGACTATTATCCCTTCGTTTGCATGTGAGAGAGCTTCTTGGCATATTTGTTCGCTGTAGATATTAAACAATATTCCCTTCAATGGATGTTACCTACTCCTGCAGGTGACATACATTCCCACATCATCATTCCACCTCCACCTTGCTTTACCGTAACTGTCATATTTTTTAAATTTTAGTTCTTCATTCGGCTTTCTCCACGCCGATATTTTTCCATCGGACCCAAATAAGTTTATTTTGGTATCATCAGCAAATATCACTGAATTCCAAAAGTTCAAATCTTTGTTAATATGCTCCTTAGCGAACACCAACCTAGCAGTTCGACCATGTAGATTATTCTTTCATAATATCCGTCTAATTGTTTCAGGGTTACATCCTTTTCGAAACTATCTTTCAACTTCATCTCAAAATCTTGGTGCACTTTTTGTAGGATTATTTGCAATTTCTCTGACAATCCATCTTTCCTCACGTTCGTTAAAAATCTTATTTGGGGCTATCCTTGGTTTATTTTAAACTCTATTTTCATTTCGGTAATGTTCAATAATGTGCTGAACTGTTGATGAGCATTTATTTACTATTTTGGATAAGTCTCTTATACACGTTAGGGTTTGCATGCACAGTTTTGCCATTAACTCTTCTGTTAAGCTACGTGACGGTGTGTGCAGGACACCTACGATACTTTGTGCGGTATATGCCTACCAAACTACAATGGACGACAACGACGTGATAGCTGTACTTGGCGTAACACGTATTCTTCTGTAAAGAAAAAAAGAGAAATCGTACTGAATGGTCTAAACGCTTGTTATTAAAAAGAAATCATTTCTCCCACGTAAATTTGATACATGAATTGAGATTTAAACCAACAGATTACAAAATTATTTACTTCGTTAATACAAAGACAAGATACTGTTATTGAGGAAAGCAATATTAACACATGAGAGACTAGCAGTAACATTAAGATTTCTTGTAACAGGAAGAACATACGAGTGTCTCAAATATTCTGCTATTATATCACCTCAGGCCGAATAATACCTGAAACATGTGATGCTATGAGAACTATGACAGGCAAGCTCGCCGGACGCCACACACGCTAGTTAGAGTATGCTCGCAGGCAAGCAAAACTGAGCGGCATAAAATATGAATTTTCATATTTGCTGGGTTGCATGTACCGTTCCCGTCATAAAAAACTGGTACAATTCTTATAATCAAAAATCGTGTTTTTTAAGTTGTGTAAGTTGATCTTGTCAGATGTGTCATTCTAATTTCTAGGGCACCATTGCCAGTTCAACGAAAATATTATATAAAACCAGCTAAAAGCAGGACTGTGTGACAGACCGCCAGTTGTGACAATACTAAAAACTAAAAGATTATCGAGCATTCTCGATCAGTCAGTCACATTAAATTTGTTTAAACATGCATCCTAAAAAATTCTCATATTAATTTTGTAATTTTCCATCATCTCAATTAATTACCATTGATTTGTAATTATTATGTAATTATCATTGATTTGTATTTTATAACAATTTATGAAAATATTTCAATTCAAAAATAATGACAGATAATCAACCTAGACAAACTTCAAATTATTATAATAAAATATTACAGTGAGATATTGGATTGAAACTGTCACGTTTTGAAAAGCGTTTTTTCGCCACGGATATTTTATAGTTTATAATACGTAGGATAAAGTAAAATGTTATTTTTTTACATTTATTGTTCCTGTAATAAATAATAATTTAATCTTGGTAGTTTGTTACTAAACTTATTGACACAAAATACAGTTCGTGTTCGGTAGGTAATTGAAGTATAAAATTACAGTAGGTGCATTCCAATGTTCCCTGTGCCCTGTGCCAATACCACAGGTTTAAAGATCCTGCAAACATTTTGGACAATAACTCAACCCTGTCTTTGCTTATTTAATTTCTTAGATACGGTTTTTTGATGTTAATGATAAAAATAATACCTATCTAAAAATTTTATACATTTTTTAACGTTATTTTTTTATTTAGATTTAGTGCAATTCCGTTATCTGTATTGGCAACAACGAATTGATTTGTGAACACAGGTTTACATTGGGAAAAAAAAGTGTACCAGTTTTATATGACGGGAAGTGTACATGCAGCGATAACTGTACAGTTTAATCATATAC